GTTGCAAGTAGCTTGATATCATTTAATTCATTACTTGATTTCTGCCTGTCATTGATTTGTTGCTAGTATTTGAACGTATTGCATCTTAATTAAAAGGTTAAGGAAAAACTGACACCCTTGAATATTTACCAGCCGTCCTCTTTTTGAGTAGAGTAGTGTTACTTCTGTGAGTTCGATGTGTATTTGACTTCTGTTTTTTGGTTATTTGTTACCAGGAATTCAAAGTTCGGTTCCCACAAAGCATGATGCTTCAGATGAAGCAGATGTTGGTGAGACAATAAAGTTTTTGCTCTTTTATCTTTTAATGCTTTTATTTTTCCCTCAAATTGCTCTTCATAGATGATTGATTCCACTACATATTTTATATAATATGCTTTAAGTATCCAAATGTAGTTATTTTCTTGATGAACAAGTTCTCAACTTGTTATATAGAAACATTTCTCTGAATGAAGCTTTTAAGCCTCCAATGTTTGGTTTGGATTTGGTTTGCTAGAAATACTTGTGATTACTGGATGCCACCTCATTTTTGGTTCCTTTTTATCCAGGGCTCAGCATTTTAATCAGTTGTTAATTTGTCAATTAATTTTGTAACCTCGAAGGGCAGCAACATAAGATGAAACAAAATATGTTTTAATTTGGTGCACCTGTGATTTGAAGCTTGGAGACTGGTCAGTCAATGTCTTTGTTGGACGCAGTGAGCCCTCCAACACTGACATGCTTCGTGGGCACCCAATTAGAAAAGGAATAGCCACCTCATTTAGTAAACCTGAGACAATCATATTTTTTTCTTGGTTTTAAAGACTATCAACAGACAAAGGAAACTTCGTTGACTTGCAATGTCAGGAGTTTGCATATCATGTTCAAATGCTTGTGTCTACTCTATTGGATTTTTTTTGACAATATGAAGAAGCTTTTCATGACTATGGTGGATGTTTTTAGACAGAGTTGTGTGACTTTTAGTTTTCTACTAGTGGGTCTTGTTGAAAGACGTGATTGTATTTGTGCCTTCATGTCAGGTTCATGGTCCAAGCTTGTGGACATATAGGGTTTGCATTGTACTACACCCGCCACATTTATAGCTGTTAAAGTTTAATGGTGAAGTTTACCTTCACTGATAATTGTAGGAATTATCTGGATATGGTCTTCTTGATTCTGTGTAAGTATTGAATGTTCTTGTTCTGGTTCAGAAAATGACTTGGAGCAGCCTAGCAGCCCATCTGTGAAAAAGTCTGAAGAAAAGGGTGTTGTCCTGGTCCATGAAGTCAAGTGCAAACTTTATGTGAAGGTGTGGATATGAAATTTTGTATTGTTCTCTATTCATTAAGATAACATTCATCTATTTATTCATGCTCTCCCCCAGTATGTGTGATAAGAATTATTTTAACTATTTTGTATGCTGGGACTAATTAAACATCTTACTTTGAGTGATTTCCAAATATTGGATTTGATTTTTTTTTTTTCTTGTATCTAACATTTAGTCTTTGTTTTGTTCAAAGTTTATAATAATGTGTGCTGGTATCAGTCCATTGATACTTCTTTCGGATTTTCCAAGTATGAGGTATATATGAGGGTGTTACCATATAAGACATACATATGTGCAGAATATGGCCTTTAAACAATACGCATTGGTAGACTTACACATGTGCATTGCAGCATCAGGACTAAGTTATGCATTTCGTATTTGCTGTCCCTATTTTTGGGTGAAATATCTCATCCTTAAATTTTTTGGCTGCTATAAATAATTTAAACCGTTGGGTTGCAATTAGCAATGCTAAATTTGTGCCGTATGGCATCAGTATTCTACTATGTTCCCCACAAAAGAAAAAGGAATAAGGACGTAGCTTATTTTCCAAAATTAAGTTCTACCTGTCGCTGTGAAATAAAAAGGAGGAACAGTTGTAGCCTTTAGAAAATGAGTCTTACTTCATGTATCGAAGGCTATGTTGCCTGGGTCAACAATTATGATGCTCCTCCTATCAGGCTAATATGCATCATGATGATTGATTAAAGTTACATAGCAACCTTAGAACGTTTTGTAAGTTTTTATATATGGTACTGTGTTAGGAATTTTAGTGTGCACTCATGTGAAGTTATTAAAATAATTATGCATGTCATTTGTTTCTCTTGCAAGCTTAACTTGCTGTATTTGTGGTCTGAGATACTTCCATCTTTTAGAAATTTTTGTGATGCTATTTATGTCTATTTCACATCTGCATGATACCTTTGATGGGGTTTTTAGTTCAATGTTTTGGCTATCTTCTTGATTGCCGCAACACATTTTTTCTAAAATCTGGCATTCTGACATTGTATGTGCCAAGCACCATTTGTAACTTCACATTTCCACCGACTTTTTTCAATACCCTTTTTCTTCTGAATATGTCCAGTCAAGTGATCCAGCAGATAGAGATGCATGGAAAGATAAAGGCACAGGGCAGCTATCTATTAAATGCAAAGAGGGTGTCAGCAAGGGTACAAAAGAATCAAAACCAACAATCATTGTTCGAAATGATGTATGTTTCCTTACACGCATATATGGTTTCAAATATTAAAATGCAGTTTGACACTATAACATCTGTTCTTTTAGTTCTATTCTGTGCTTTAGGAAGTGAGTGTGGTGTTTAGTTAGTAGATTTTCTTTGATTTGAGAAAGCAAGGAAAATCTTCCATATCTTTCTTTCCCGTTCCTTTCTTGAACACATGTAAATAGTATACCTTTTTTTTCTATTTCTCTTGTCCCCTTTTCATTGTTTGTAGTATGGCATATTATTTATCTAATGGCGTCATGATGAACTCCTTGCAATTAGAAGTTCGTCTTCAACTGAAGTTTCACGTTGTATACTATTTATGATGGCAGGTGGGGAAAGTGCAGCTTAATGCTTTGTTATATTCAGGCATCAAGACGAATCTACAGAAGAATTCCATTGTTGCAATATTCCATACTATGGTAATACAATGCTCATATTTGGATATTCAATTAGAACGTTTGGTCAATTTAACTGTACAAAGAAAAAAAAAAGTAAGGCAGGGTTCTGGATTAAACATCTGGCTCTCAAAAAACGCCATTATAAGTTGTTTGGCTGCAAAAAGGAAAAAAAATTGGAGTAGCTGTTGGGAGTTATTCTTGATTGCTTTTCTCTGGGATTCTGGGGTGGTTAGTTGATCCGTTGATTGGGTTTAATCCTCATAGATCTGAGATAAATACACACACACAT